CATCCGGTTATAGAAGACTTGGATCACAGGAGCCACACAATTCCCTGAAGATTTAAATATTGTCGGTGGGTGAAGGGAGGGAGAGAGGTGTTCTGTAATGATATAGCTATGAGTGTGGTAAAAAAAAAAATCCTTCTGTGGACAAACCATTGTTTTCCTGTAAATAACAATAATGAAAGTCATGCTGGCATATACATGTGCACATATGAGTGCACACTGATACCCCCCTCACACACACAGTACACTCCCAATCAAACAAACACCCAAAGACTTGAAGATAAAAGAGGAGTTAGTTGAGAATGGAAGGGGATTAGCAGGGGAGGGAAATGAAAGAAACAGGGTAATGGACAAAGTGAATACATTAAGTACAGGCATGGAGATATCAAAATGAAATCCATTATTATATATAATGAACATACGCTAATAAAATATGATGTTTCTACAGTAAAGGATAGCCTGGAAGCTGGAGTTGTAGCTGAGTGATTGTTAGCATGTGTGAGGTCTTGAGTTCCATTCTCTGCGTTAAAAATGGCAAAACAGCCCATAATTTCCTGGTCTGATTCTATGCAAGGCAGAAAGTACTCTCTTTCTAAGTGTTGTGGTTCACTGAGATTTCATATTGGGAAGTTAAACTGTGTGCTTGAAACTTGAATCCAGGTTTCTGTAGAGAAATTAATGGTGGCTGTGGTGCAACTTTCACGGCCCTTGTACAATGCTCACACTGGGTGATGTTCTGCATTCAGCAAGCACAGGTTCAGTGTTCTTTTCTTACCTTTGGCTTGGGACCGCTGTTATTCAAGCTTATCGTTATAATTCCTTTTTAGATTACTGTTCTCATGAGCAATTTAGTTTGTTTAGGATGGCTTTCTCTATTCACTGGTCTGCATGACTACTTCTATCAATAACATTTTCAGACTTTACATTGCAAATGCCCTCACTGGAGATCCTGGGTGTACTGTTTCAGAAATGTAATCTTTCAAAAGTCCATTTCTTATTCAGGCTCACCTTATTTTTATTGCTAATTTATTTTAATGACCTAAGACTGAACTATCTGGATGATGATTCTAAACTAGGTTATAAAATAAAAACCACAGAAGTGATTAGCTAAGACAAAAGAGATAAGAGGTGGTTAGTAAAAAAAAAAAAAAAGAGAGGTGAGTCAGAGGAGACAAATATGCAAGCTATAAAATAATAAACTGACATGGAGTATTTATAGGATATTATAAAAGTATCTTGCTGCTGTTTACACACTAGGACAGACTTTAATAGCAATTTGAGTCTTCAAATGTTGTGAGGCTGAGACCCTCTTCTGTCGCTGATGACTGGGCAGAAGCTGCTGTCTTTCTGCTTCAAACAGCTCTGACCACCAGTTAATGTGGGATGGACAAAAAGAGGACAACAGAGGTACACGGACTCTTGAGAGACTTGTACTCGAGAACCGTGAATTAACTTCTGTTCACCCCAAGAGCACACTGATAACAGTCCAGAGCCAAGGTTCTGCCCAAGTCTAGGTTCATGGACCAGTGAGATTATGGGGTTTCTTGAGGAGTGTGGGGACACAAAAAGAAAAAGAAAGCTAAGACACACACACACACACACACACACACACACACACACAAACCTTATTTCAGCAGGAGTCACCACTCCAGCAAGCTAAATTTCCAGAGCTCCTTATATGAGGTAGATCAGCATGCTGGAGCATCTTCCCTCCCCAGCTTTTATAAAATCATGGGGAGCCTTGTGATTCTTACAATTTTCAAGCATTTCTTAAAAATTTCTGAGTTAGAGTATTTTTCTCTTTTTCCTGCTTTCTTCATTCCTTAGTTACCTTACTTCTTCATGTAGGATTGAAGCCCCCTATTTTCCTACATCCAAATGTTTTATAACACCAAATGGTCAGCCCTGAAAAAAAAACAAATATAAGAAAAATATAATACCGACTGAGCAGGTTGTACTTGTGTGTGTGTGTGTATCCGTGTGTGTGTGTGTAACAACACTTAGCTAAAAAGAGGTGATTCATTTGAAAAAGATGAAAGAGGGGCATATGAGAGAGTTTGGAAGATGAAAAAGGTAGTGGGAAATGATGTAATTATAGTCTCAAAATAACAAAATTATTTGTTTTTAAAAATGTAGTTACTTTATTTCATTTACCTTGGGAATTTTATTTTTTTTCCCGAAAACTAAGGAAACTTCTTCCACTATAGAATGCTTCATTTTGATGGCATAGGCTCTACAACACACACCTACATAGGCAGCAAAAGAGGGGGAAAAAATGAAGATTTCAGTTTGTTAAACTGTCCTGTCAGAAGTAATGTGCAGTTGCTTTAAGTTTAGCTTGAGTGAGACAAGTTTTACCCCACAACTCGGAGCAAATGAACTGGTGTGACTGGGAACATGCGAGTTAGCTGCATTACATGCAAACCCCAAAGAGCATATTACAAGTTGAAGAGGGTACAGTACCAATTATACCATTATCTCACCCTACTCTCTGAGCGAACAGTCTGAAAGCCTAAAATTACAGATGATGTTAGATTTCTTGGCTTCATGTGCAAATTGGAGTCATTTTCCTTTTTTTTTTTTGAATGCATAAACACATGTTATATTGTTTCAGAGAAGCAGTCCTTATACTTCGTTATGATATTTTTCCTCATTTTATTCACCAGGTCGAAGAGCTCTTTTACAAAATTTAAATTGTTACAAACTCATGTAAGACTGGTTCTGTGATTGCTTTGCAGTGATCTTTAGTACCATTTGAGCTACGACTCTTTGCCATGTCGTTAGGAGGCAAGATCTGGTGAAGGGCCTTCAAATGGCCAGATGTGCCATTTTGGAACAGATTGAGGGTCTGCCAAAACACCATTTGTTGCCAGGACCGGATATCATAGGGGCTTCATCACCCTGTTACCATATTTTTGCACTTCTTAGCATTGCATAAATAGGCAGCTGTTCTCTGTTTGGAATATAAATGAGTCACCAGCTTGCTCTCCCTGAAGCATATACCTACAAGAGGGAACCCCAGCATTAACCCTCTCATCCCCTGTATGAATGTCAAAATGTACACCTCCCTCTCTTCATTCAGAGGCCAGTCCTTATGCATAAATGTCACATGACCTTTGCCTGTTAGACAAGAGGGGGAAAAAGAAGAAAACCTGTACACTTCTTAGTGCTAATGTGTAACACCTGTCCTTAGGAGAAAAGTATTAAATGAATCTGCTTCTAAGCTGATAGTGAACAATTTGGAACCTTTTCTTCTCTTCCTGCAATGAAAGCAAACTTTTCTCTTACAGGGCAATGATTTCATTAAGATGAAAAACTGCGTTAAAAGATGTGTTATGAGAAGAGAGAAAAAAAAAATAAAACCTGAAAAGTTATTCACTCGTCTCTCTGGGGCTATTTTCAGAAGAGATTTTTTTTCTTTTAATTTAGAGAATAAAAACTAACCTAGAGACTTCAAACAACAAAGAAAAGGCTAGATGGATCTCATAATAATAGGATAGGGAGGGCAGCTGGCTTAATATAATCCTTGATGCCAATAGATGTTCTCTCTTACAGACTATATGAGGTTATCTAGTGACTNTATACACATAGAAGATATAAATGTTATACACACATTTATTCATCTATATGAACATGCATCATCATCATCATATACATATAGAAACAGACATACCTCATGTGTGTACATGTACTATAGATAATGGAGGAGTAGAGATAGGTAAATAGATATATAGACATATAGAAAGATGAGAAAGAAAGAAAGAAAGAAAGAAAGAAAGAAAGAAGAAAGAAAAAAGAAAGAAAGGTGATAGATATAAATTTTAGCTTTACATACTTTAAAATAAACTTTGTTTGCTAGATTGTACTATGTGCCTGAAATCGCAATACTTGACATATAGGAGAATCATAGAATCATTGATTTGAGGCCAACCTGGGCTACATAGTGAGGCCGCCTCAAAGAACACAAAACTAAACAAAACTAATTGAGTAAAAGAAAACAAAACTTGTGAGTGTTGGAATGGCAAAGAAAAGGAAAATGAATGTGATTGGGAAACACAAACAGTGAAGATAAACATCATGTTAGCTAATCTCAACTCCTATTTTGAATGTTTTTACTAAAATACTTAGGGCCACTGTTTGCCAAACACACTCCATTCTTCTCCATCTGATTGGGCATGCAGACTTCCCATCTTTCCATCAGAAGAACGGATCACACTAATAGATGTGTGACATTTGGACATCTGACGCATGCCAGATTTTTGAAGGTTGTATCAGAGGTCCAACCTGCTGTTCTCCTTACTAATAAAAAGAGGGATGATTCAGGCTGCAACAGTGCCATAACGGGTATCTATGTTATGCATGTCATGCTTCCCAGATGTCACTTGGCAGGTGGAGATGCAGAGGGTTTTGAAACAAAACCCTTGTACGTGGGTGCTAGGGCGTTGCAAAAGTCAACAATGAGTTTGCTTAGTGAAGTGTGGAAAGCCGTGAGCCCACATTCATGTCACAAGCAAGAGAGCTTCTCAAAGTCCTCACTCCTCTCTCAACGTAGACCCAAGTGTACACAGGATCATAAGTGACCTGTGTATAGCTTGCTTCAGGGTTCAATTTATCTTAGACATTTATTGTGATGCACTCATGAACACATACCCATATATGCTTTTCTTAATGGAAAGTAGATCTACATTATGTGAAGTGTTTCATACCTTGCATGGTTATTACAGCTCAGAGTTATATCATAAATATCTTATTTCATTGATATTTGATATATTATTTTTAAAACTGGATTTTAGAAACAATGTATGTGAATGCCTCCCCCCAGTAGCTCTTCCCCCATCAGTGAGTACTTAGGTTGGATTTGACATATTTTTCTAGTAGATATGGCTATGTGCACTAGAAATATCCAGCATTTATCATGTGGCTAAAACTTAAAGTTAATGTTGGCAAGATAAAATGGAATAGTATCATTAAGAATATTTTTACCTGTTTTAATTTTTCTTCAGTATTGCGAGATGACTTCCGGCAAAACCCCACAGATGTAGTAGTGGCAGCTGGAGAGCCTGCAATCTTGGAGTGCCAGCCCCCACGAGGACACCCAGAACCTACCATCTACTGGAAGAAAGATAAAGTCCGAATTGATGACAAGGAAGAGAGGATAAGTGTGAGTCCATTTACAAGAAAGTCTAGAGACATTGAGTTTCACATTGGAATGAACTCTGTTAACATATTAATACCAAAATTGGATTTAAATGCTAATTTTCCACATACCACATATTAAATTTTGGATGGGACTCGGTGAGACAATCATAAATGTCTACATTATACTAATAATTGTACCAATTTGAATATGTAATTGTGATTTTGTAGTGTAATATTAATATCTTCACTCTCTAGAGGTTTCTAGCAGTCATTTATGCTTCATACATTGATATTAAAATATAAATGTAGCCATTAAGCTTAAAGGCTACCTCTCGTTTTATATTAGATTCAGTATTATAAAAGGAAATGAGGACTTCACTGAAATAAAATTTACATTAGATAATATTTAGTAGTTCATCATTTAGATAAAATACAGTGACTGAGAATTAATGTATTTTATTAAAAAATAAATGTTTCATTTGACTAGACATATGTTATTTTGTTGTTAAATTCTCTTTTGGGACCTCCAACTCAAAATAATGATACACAGACATCTTATTAATTATGAAAAGTTGGCCTTTAGCTTAGGCTTGTCCCCAGCTAGCCGTTATAACTTAAATTAACATGCTTCTATAATCTGTTTTCTGCCATATGGCCTTTTTACCTCTCTGTCATTCTGTAGGGTCAACTTGGTCCACATCTTCCTGGCATTGAATTGCACCTAGATTTGGCTCCTCTTCCTCTCTCTCTCCCAGGAATTCCTGCCTATCCTCTCCTTCCTAGCCACTGGCCATTCAGCTCTTTATTAAGCCAATCAGAAGGTGCCTTGCCAAAGACACATCCTCACGGTGCAAAAAAAATAAAAATAAAATAGTAATAATAATAATAATATGCTACAACATTATTTTTAAAAAGTCATGTGTTACCTGGAATATTTAAATATATATTTTACAATATGAATTTATGCCATGTATACATTGAGATGGCACCATTATAGAAAATCTAAATACTAGATAGATATTGCAATATATATTCAAATGTTTCTGCTTTTGCTGTTATTATGAAGCGTTACCACTTCAATGAGAATTCGGTCTTTATGGTTCTGTGTTGAGTACGTGCTTTTGAAAAGAGACTCGTTGGCTTTTGCTACGTATCAAACCATCTCTAAATGCAATGGTTTATTCAAGTCATTTTACTTATAATCAGAATTCTATAAAAAATAAAAATTATTTTTCAGCAACAAGTTTGGCAGACCTTAAAAAAAACTCAAAATTATTAACTAGAGCCTCTTTCTTTGCTCTTTCTTTTCCATTTGTTTATTTTATCTAGATCCGAGGTGGAAAACTGATGATCTCAAATACCAGGAAAAGTGATGCAGGAATGTATACCTGTGTGGGCACCAATATGGTGGGAGAAAGAGACAGCGACCCTGCAGAGCTGACTGTCTTCGGTAAAACTCTTCTAATTTATGTATTAGTTCCTTTTCTTGTTTCTGTGACCAAATACTTGAAAGGAAGCCACTGACTAAAGGAGCATCTGGGGGCACAGTGGCAGAGAAGTCCTTGGTGCAGCTGGAGGCTTATTTTGCATATACAGTAGGGAAGTGAGCGGACACGAACACTGCTGCTAGGTTAATGTTTTCCCATGAACACAGCCCTATACTGTGCATATTTAGGGGAGCTCTTTCTATCTCAGTTAACCTAGTCTAGAAGCTCCCTCATGAACGAGCTCAAAATTGGTCTCGTCACTAATTCCACATCCTGTCAGACTGGCAATATTAGTACTCACAAATTATAAATATCTGCAGTTTCATTAGCACTAAAGTTTAGGATGTATATGAACAACGACTCATTAATTGGAGTAATCAATAGTGATTAGAATTGGGATTTTGAGGTGTTTTATGATGAAAACTTTAATGTCAAATTTAGAAAGAAATGTCACATTATCTTTTAAAAAGAAACGTCAGCTTGACTACTTTATTCATGTATTTAAGATTATTTAAATATCTGTTTTTCAAAATGTTAAAAACCACACTGTTTCTCAGAAAATTAATGTTTCTCACTCATTCTGTTTTAATATATTTATTAGGTATTAGATGCATACATATACACATACATATATGTATATAATACGCAGACACATATCTGCTTGTATGTGTATTCAAATACATATTAATATTTTTTACTCATCCTGATAGCAAATAGCCTAAAAGTTAAGAGAATATGTAAGTTTTTAAATTATACCTCCTCTAGCTCGATGTGTGTTATGGCAAGGTCTCTACTTAGGGTCATTGTTCTAGAACTTGCCCGAGCCCAGTGTTGAAGTCTGGCATAAGTATCTAGTGGAGTGTCTTCTTGAGTGTAGCTTCAGAGGCACTATCCAGTCATATGATCGGGAGCGTTGCTATGGAAACAGATCCAGTGATGCCTCTCTGGTTGTTCTCTTTGAATGAAAGATCCAGGTCTTTTCAAACATCTGCATGCTGAATAATCTCTGATAATACTCACCGTGGATACTCCCCCACTTCTAGTCCCAAATGAGAAAGGCAGGAAATATCCCATAATTTATTAAAGAAGCAAATATATATAATTCTATATTTCTGTACAATGTAGGCCTGTAGACTACTTCTGTCCACCTAGTCCAGAAAACTCTAAGTTTTCCTCTAAATCTTATGCAGTCAGCTTTAAGAGTCTCAAACTCCCTCTACATAGTAATAAATACAATTGGGTCTGGTAAGATGTGAAATTAGTAGTCTCTGAATATCAGCATGAAAGCCCACAAGAATAGCTCTTTTATTTAAAGAAACACTCATTGCTATTTCTTTTTGTAGCTACCACAAGCTCTTGAGTAGAAAAACATTGCATTATGACCGTATAGACTATCTTCAAAGGGAAATTGAAAGGGTTCAATGTCATTACCAGAGCAATTAGATCTACCAGTAATGTGTCTTTATTTGAAATATTTACCCTACTTTTCCTAAAGACTTTATGGGAACTGCAAGAGACCTGTAAGTCTGTCAAAATTTGTGGTACAAATTATAAATTATTTTAAAAATAGCTATCAACCCAAGAGATTAAATTTATCCAGAAGCAGTACCTGTGGAAGAATTGATTTAAGGAGCTGAGAAACAGTTATCTGATAGTGTGAACTGACCTGAGGAGTTTCTTATACAATAAGTTGAGGGAAAGTTGAAATTCCATTTTATATGTAACAAAACAATGCCCCAAATCAAGAAAAAGGAAAAGAGAGAGGCAGAGACCAGACAGACAGAGAGAGAAAGAATGAAACTGTCCCGGGATGGAGGGGGAAGATCTGGAAGAAGCTGGCAAAGAAGAAATGATAGGATATGAGAGATGAGATATATATGCATGTATGATATATGTATATATATACATAATTTTTAAACATTTATGGGAAGAAAGGAAAGATAGAATAGGGAAGTGATAGTCTGATCAAAGCTGTGATTTCTGTGTGAGAGTTTTGCTGATCAATGACTCCTAATTTTAGAGAATTAAGGTCAACAGGGGGACCCCCCTCATTTATTACAATTGAATCCCTTACCTTGAAAACATTAAAAAACAAACTGCCTTTTAGTTCAGCACTACTAAATATTAGAATTTTGGAATTATGTTTGTAAACCTGGTTTACATTTCTCAGTCCACCTGCTCAGTTTTATCTTCAAGTAGCTGCAAATTTACCTTAGGGTCTTTGACTACAATGGTCTCTGGCAATGAAATGCCAGCTTTACTCAAGAGGTTCTACAGGAAAAGTAATTGGTGATGTTTGCTCTTCAAGAAATATCCTTAACTAATAAAGTCCAAGGTGAGCAAAGAAAAAATAAAGGTTCTTACCTTATCCAGTAGTTATCTACATTACTGAAAAAAAGTATCTGTTTTTTCAGTTGTTTTATTCTTCAACAACTGAACTTGATCTAGGAAATGTAGTTTGCGAATTCCATTTTCCTGTGACACTTTCCACTAAGGTGTGAGCACAGTAAACTGATTCTAAGTACCAGATGGGTGATCTGTTCTATTTGTTTCTCAGCAATCATGTTCTGTATCTGAGATAACCTCCTCCTCAAGTGTGCATTATCAAGTCAGAGTGTGCCCATTATCAAATCTAAAAATCAGAATGTAGTATTCTAGTCTGAAATGACTCTGTCATCTGTAACAAACTCTAGACATCTCATAAAGAACATCACTACTTCCCACTCTAGATAATTAATGTATATGTTAAGCTTTAAAGAGCCTAAACATGCTCAGAGAAACTAGGATTGAAGCATGCAATCTATAAGCCGAAAATTGTTTATTAAAAAAAGCTAAAAATAAAGCATATGTTTTCTAAATGATTTTTAAGTGTGTCCAAACAATACACAAAATCAGTTTTGTACTCTGCAATTTCAATACATATCATAGCTGTTAAATACCAAAATACTGAAATATTTAGCTTAACAGCTTCTTTAAGAATCCTTCACATGTGCATGGATGTACACAAATACATGTATGCACACACACATATACACGTGCACACATACATATACACAGAGGTACATTATTTCTTTGTTGATTACTTTTGAAAGTTTATTTTGTTCTCCCCTCCCCTTTTGGGTATTCATTTTAATATTTTAAACATGTTTTTCTAGTATATATTTTAGATATTCACTAGGACACCACTCTATATTCTATTTAAAAAATAAGAAATTAGAGTCTGTCCTGGAACTAGCTCTTGTAGACCAGACTGAGCTTGAACTTTTATCTATCTCTCTTTAGTATACTCTTTTTAGAATCATTTGTGCTATTGATATTGAAATTTGCATGGCTAGAGAGATGTCTCAGTGAACAAGAATTATTCATACAAACATATGAATCTGATTTCAAATCCCCAAAATGCATGTAAAACAGGCATAGTAGATCACATCTCCAATCTCTGTACAGCAAGATGGAAAGCAGAGAGAGACACTGAAGCACCCAGGCCAGCTAGCCTGATGTATCTTTTCTCAAACAAAATGGGTTATGAGAACCGGCACTCAAAGTTTCCTCAGAATTCCATGTATGTCTCATGGGTAGTCTGGTGCCCACAAATATAAGCATGTACATGCACATACTTAAACACTTGTTTACACATGGGCAAATAAAATGTTTTGTGTTATATTTAACCATGTAAACATTATGACCAATGAACTAAATGTTATGATATTGTGATTCATTTTCTGTTTTAAAACAATGTTTGTTTCAAACTGGTAAAGCTTACATTCTAATTTTCATAACTCAACAGTATGTGCTCCCCTATTATAGCTGTCCTGGAGATCCCAAACTCTGTGCACTCAAGTCTACTATAGAATTTCCAACCCTGATAATTCTCCTCCCTTGCTTTGATGTTAGATTCGGTATGCCTAATGCCGAATATCCTGTATGTGTTTCTTTACGTCCTGATTATGCACGTATTTATCCACTGCTTTCTGCTTGCCTGGAGCTCAGAGCACACCCCAAATTCATATTCCTTTACTCTATGTGAAATCTAAGTTACAAAATCATAGTGTCAAAATTCTTTAATTTTCTGTTACCATTGAAAGGGCCTCTCCAAAGTTATTTTGCCCCCTTGCATTCCTCTAGAGAAGTCTACTGACTGTTGGCATACCTTTGCATATAGTTGGGTCTTTTGATTTACTTTTTTCCCTCCAAAACTCTTAGTAGTGTGTCCTTATCTCATTTCTCACTCTTCTGACACATTGCAATTATATGCCTTGATTGGTCACTCATCCACAACCTTGTTTATTTATATGCTAGTCAAAAAAAAAAATCAAACCAGAAATCTGTCAACCAAAACAACTCTATTCATTTTATTGGACTGTTTGGCTCCCTTAAATCATGTATTTTTTTTTTTTGAAATTTAAAGGAAAGAAGTAGTTGAAGATCTGAAAATTTTTTAATAAAATTGTAGCTACAGATACATTGCAGCTATCATGTTAAAACATGCATTAGACACACATACAAAACTCATGAAACAAGCCACAATTTTTTAACAATTAAGCAAAGATAAAATGCCTAAGAAACAATATCGATGACTTACAAATGATGGGCTTTTTAAGCACCATTACAAAAAAAATAAAGCACAGATGGATGGGTGTTCAATTATATACAATGAACCTTTAAAGTGCGAGTGTCAAAGGAACAGAACCACTAGCATTCAAAAGCAGCTTTGTCAACTAGACAATAAAACACTCTACAGCATGTCCCTCTGCTGCCCATTGCTGAATACACTGGTAGAAACTTTGAAATGAAAAAGAAAGAAAAAAGGAACAGTGACTCCTTTTATTTTCTTTGTTTAATGTTGGAGGAGGCTGCTTGTTGGGTCCTGGCTGCTCATCAGCTCAGCACCAAAATAATCACACAGAAACTATATTATTTAAATTACTGCTTGGAGCATCAGCTCTAGCTTTTTATTTGGTAA